GAAGGAGGGCATCAAGGCATTGTCAGAACGTAGAACCGAGTCAAAGCCGACTACTACTGGATTGGTATTTACGCCGACGTGGTGAAACATGTTAGGGCCTGCGAGGACTGCAATATCAGTAAGAGCAAGCCACAGTTGAGAGGTTACTCGCCGGGAAATGTGGTGTAAGACCATCCATTCCAAGTCGTGTCAATGGATTTCGTGATTCCCCTTCCTCGAACTCAGCGGGGCAATACTGCACTGCTGCTGTTCCAGGACCACTTCACGGGATTCGTTATCGCTAAAGCTATGAATGACACCGGAGCACTCGAAGTGGCCAAGGTATTTGAGGAATGCGTCTTCAGGCAGTTCGGGGCTCCGTCTCTGATACGGCACGACCGAGATCCAAGGTTTATGAGTGGTGTATTTCAAAAGTTCTCCGAGATGATGCAGTCGAGATCAAGAGCTACGCTGAGTTACCGACCACAAGCCAACGGTCAACAAGAGAGGTCAGTCAAGACAATGGTTCAGACTATACGGGTCTACGTGGAAGACCCACTTCAAGCCGACTGGGATGACATCGCCGAGAAGATGGTACACGCTATCAACAACTCAAGAGATTCGACTCGGCGAGAAACCCCTTTTTATCTGGTACATGGTTGGGACGCCAAGTCTACACTCAAGGCTATGACGAGTTCAATACGACGTGGACAGGGACGCCCAGTCAACTCGGCAGACGCAGTCGAGTGGCGCCGAGAAGCGAACAGACAACGAGAAGTGGCACTTCGATTAGCAGCTGAGATCCAAGTGCAAAAGAAAGCACGACGATCTCGGGAGCACAACGAAGCGTTGAGCAAGAAGGAGAAAAGATCCATTCCCAACACAGCAGATGACGAAGATGAAGTTGCAGAACCAGGCGATGAATCCACCAAATCCTTGTTCAAAGAAGGAGATCGAGTCTGGTTGTTTATGGATCGAGTCAAGTCGGGCCTGACCAAGAAGTTGGTCCACCGATGGCATGGACCATTCAGGGTGAAGAAGAAGGTGGAAGAATTCGCCTATGAATTGGAGTTACCCGACAAGAGTGGATATAGGTTCTACCCAGTGGTCCATGTATCACGTCTGAAGGCAGTCACCGAACTCGGCGGAAGACCAAAGACGAGGCTAATCGCCGACCTCGAAGAGATTCAGCGATTTGACTTTGACGAAGAATTACTGCCTGAAGACAGCGGGGAGCCAGACACAAGTACGAACCAGTATGAAGTCGAAGCAATTCTCGACGATGAGCTACCATTATCCACGAGTACGTCACGATCACAACGGAAGTTTAAAGTTAAGTGGGTCGGCTACGATGAGCCTACTTGGGAACCACTGTCGAATTTGTCATGTGGGGGTCTCCTGTTTGACTATCTACGACAGAAGAAGCGCGAAAACCGTCTGCAAATGGTGCAAGTTGCAGATGAGGATTAACAGCTATTGCACCAAAAGTTACACCAACTCGGCGGACGACACAGGCCGAGTTGAGATGGAATGCTACTGTGTCGAAACTACATATACTGAATAATTACGAAATGAAGTCCTGAACGATACCTACGGGACGCCCAGTCAAAGGAAGAAAACTAAAAAGTCGGCGATCCGGATCCCAAGTGAGTTGAACCCGACGGGGACAACTGGGAAGAGCTCAGCGGACTCGACGATTGGGGGCGTGGCGTCGTAGCAGACGTCATCCCTTGGGAACTTGCGGAAGGAGATGCAACATTCGCAGCCGTGGCAAGAAGTATCATCGCCGAGCTAGCCAACGAAGCTGACGCCGAACCAGGTGCCTCAGGACCCGACGCGGCGGAAGTGGGCTGAGGATCCGTTCCACTGGGGAGTGGGGTACCGAGCGGAGACATACTCGGAGACGCGCCTCGGAGATTGGGAGAACCCAACCCATCGTCCGCCGAGTCGTCATCAGACGCACTCTCGCCATCTGAGCCGAGCTCACCGATCGAAGACCCAGTGAAGATATGGATGCCTTGACGATTCAGCCGAGTTGGAGCACCCGGGGCATAGGCAGGAGGCGCTTGTTCAGCAAGATCGAAATCTTCTTCAATCGCGTCATCAACAACATGAGGATCCATACCGCGCGGAGCGAAAATAAAGAAGTCCACGTTCCGAGCGCGGAAGCAAGTATTGTACGGATGGACCGCCGGGTCAGTAAGCCACCAAGCTCGCCAGGGCTCGGCTAGATCCACATCGTGAGCACACTGGACCCAGTCTCTCCCGGAAGGAACCCACGAAAGGTTAACGGGAGAGTAATGGGGAACGGACGGATCAAAATAAACCTCTGCGTCCACCAGTGGAGCAGGCTCGTCGCCGAGCTTCTGAGTGACCGCCGAGTAAAGCTGGTCGTAGACAGCAACAACCAAAGATCGCAAGGTGTCACTACGACGTTGCGCTCGCGCT